AAAATTCCAAGCAAAGAGTTCAAAAATACATATAAAGTTTGATTTAACTCTGTTAACATCTTTACCTCTTCAAAGATATCTAACAGAAAAAGTTTGCAAACAGTAACACCAGGTTCAGGCCAATAAAAAAAATAGGTTTCCAAACTCCACTAGGTAATTGCAGCAAGATTAGTGTAAACCAAATGCATTTATTATTTGCAGTGTAATCCAATATACTAAGGGATGGCATGTGCTTTATTTTAATTAGCTTTTTCTTTTAAAGGGTTGCTTAGTCCAACTGTCTTGATAAGAAAAAATTGTAGTCATTGCTCAAAATGCTTGTAGCAAATCTAGTTTTAAATTGAAGCAATTTATTCTGAAAGCAGTCTACTACTGCAGCAATAATCAATGTGTTTTCCCTTAGCCCATACTGGAGCTTTCTCTGGACTATTGTTAATTGCCTGTAACTAAATGACTGCTGGTGCCCTGAAATGTAACTCTTTGGCACTTGTTCATTTGTTGTGTTTAAACCAAATGCCGGTTTCTCTTAGGTTTTGCCTAGTGATTTTGCTTTACAATTTTCAATATTCAGTCTTCGTCCCTTATAGCAGGCAGAGTCTATCATTTGAACAAAATAACACAAAGGCTAAACAGATTTTAAAAGGTTTGCACTTTCTTTTTCTGTCCTCTGATGTTGAATCGTGCTGAAATGGAATCTTTTTATTTTTTAATTGCTGCCACTCCACGAAAACGTGAACTTGAGCTGAAAAGCGGATCCCATTTCAAAGGAAAAATGACACTCGCGGGGGCAACACTGTTCACATTGTAATGTGAAGATAAAATACTGCAGTGGGCCCCAATCATTTCTTTTAGCTGTAACAGAATTTAACCCCTTGTAATTTTGTCCTGACCCAATGTATAAGCAATAATGGCTGGCACTCATATTAATGAATGTGTCCAGCTTGGAGCAAAGGAATGTGGAAACTAAATCTAATACATTAATTTCCTTGAGAGGATTTACACATGCTATATAAACCAATGTGAAAAACTTAAATGGAAATTTTTTTAACCTGCACACATTTATAATATGAAGGCATGTATATTACTCTTACATAAAAATAATGTCATAAATGAGGAGCAGGCACTGGTGTCTGTACTGTGGAGAAAGATACATTTGTTTTCTGACTTCTAAGGATATTATAAACACACCATGCTTCTGCATATAATACTGTAGATGTTTCTGGGGGAAATCTGAGATATTATCAAGATCACAGGTTAAATACTTTTTAATACTGTTTCTTTGGACTAGTTTTTGGAATCTCTATTATTAAGTACACGATTGTCATTTGGCTCAGAAGAATTTTTCTTGCTTATTGCTTATACTCTAGGTAAACATAACTTGTCGTATGTTTGTACCTTAAAGGAAGTCTTCATGTGACACAAAACCATTTCTGTAATTGCTAAGCCTCACCAACCCTGCTGTCTTTTTCTCATTACATTTTATAGAGTATTACTGATTGACATAGTAAAAAGTATATTCAAGGTAGTATATATAATTGTTTGAGTGGCTCATGACTTCAAGCAATGGGATTAATTTACATATGGGCAATTACTTCTCTAAAAATAAGGACTTACTTTCATACAATTTTTCTCTAACTTACACATACTCAATTTTTAAAAGTTAAAAAAAATATGTGTAGGAACCAGTGTTATAAAAACTATCTGAATAAAATGAGAATTCTGCTTATTGGATTAATAGGATTACATTTCAGGCACAGTTTTTGATTGTTCCAAAAGCTATTCAATGAGATATGGACATGTAAGACATGCTAAATGCCCCGCCTAGTGCTGTGTTTCCAGAATCAAAGGGTGTACTTAGGGGCACCATGGAAAAATCGTCCCTAACCAGGCAGTTATCTACAGCAGAGCAGTGGTCCTGACTCCCTGCTTTCTTTATAGCTTCTTACTACATAGGCCTTAGGTTAGAATTTCTAATGGCTCTTTTTAAAAAATCAAATTTTTAAAGAATTGAAGTACAATTAACATCAGATAAAATGTATACATCTTAAGTGTTCAGGTCAGTGAATTTTGACAAATGTATATACTTGTCTACGCACCTTAAAAAGATACAGATTTTTTTAAATCCCAGAATGTTCCCTCTTGCCCCTTTCCAATAAATTTTCCCATCACCCATCCACCGAGCATTTTGTGATTTCCATCACTATGGGTTATTTTGGCCTGTTCCTGGGCTTCATTTAGATAGAATTATGCAGAAGGTATTACTTTATGTCTGGTTTCCTTCCCCTAACAAAATTTTGTGAGATTCATGCACATTGCATGTTATCAGTCATTCATTGTTTTTACTGCTGAGTATGTTATATCATATGGACACACAACTGTTGTTCATCATATCTTGTTAATGAACATTTGGGTTGTTCCCAGTTGTGGCTACTATGAAGACTACTCTGAACATTCTTATACAAATGTTCTTGTGGATATCTGCTTATATTTCCTTTGGGTAAATATTTAGGAGTGTAATTGCTGTTCATAGGGTATATTCATATCTAACTTTATTAGAAACTATCCAAAATTTTCTAATATAGTAGTACCATTGGGCACTTCCATTAGCAGTGTTGGGGAGTAGAGGTTAAGCATTCTTCATTATTCTTTCATTTCTTTTCTCATACAGCAAATTTTAGAGTGAGAAGTTTCAAATGTATAATGCATTATATTAGAAAACAGAATGAATCTTAAAGGAAACTAAAGTCCAAATGCTTCTTTCTCCCATTGTATCCAGTGTAATTTAAATCACATTTGTCTGGTATATAAATTAGCCTGTGGGCATAAGTTAGAGTTTTATGCCAGCTTCTCTGTGTGGTGGAGTTCAACTAATATCCTGAGAGAACAAGACCTAATGTACCCACAGAATTATCTACCTCTAATCCCTTCTGTTCACATAGTAGTGGGGTAATGTTCTACTGAAGAGTGTTTTGTATTTCATTTCTGGTACTTTTGTAGTCCTGTCTTTTGTAATCTCTCACAGGATTCAGCAGATAAAGCTGTCTGATATTTATAAATATCAAATTTATAAATACAAAATATAAAAATTTATTTGAAGTACTTTTTAGTATTTTACACTTCATGTTGATTTACTTATACTCTAAAAGATTTAATAATTCTATTTTTCATTCTTAAATTCATAAAGTCCAATAACTTTTTATAAGATTTTCTTCTATGTCCCATTTAATTTTAATAAGAGCAGAAATACATACTTGATTAAACACTAGTTATATGTGTTTTTTATTAAACTGTTGAATTAGGAATGAAAGACTAGATAATGAGAAATATGGCTGTTTTTTTTTTTCTGTAATTATCAAAGGAAAAGTGACATCACTTGCAAGCACACACACACACACATGCAAACACAATAGATTCTTGTAAGAAAATGATGGCCATACTTCTCAGATTATTTATCCCTGATACCACATTGCACCCATAATGATTTCACCTCATTTGCAACATTTCAGTATTGATCTTTTAGCCTAAGAGTAGTTGTCACTGCAAAACCATAGCTTACTTTAAAGTTCAGTCTAAGCCTACATTGACTATGTTACAAAATTAGATAACCGATTGGTGGATTGTACATAACAGGATCAAAAATACCAGTATTTTAGAGCCATACTTTCAAGAATATTAATCTTTAATGGTAATTAAGGAAACTAGTACTTTTCGAGGTAGTTATCAACTGCAGGGGACAATAGCTACCCATAAATAACTTTTAGACTATGACAGTGAAGGTCAACATGCATACACAGGCACTTAGTTAAAGTGAGATTCAAAATCTTTGCATTCTGGCTTAATGTTTAAGTACCAGTATCACTGAATTTGGTACACTGTTTATGAGCACTGAAGGAGAAAAAATAAGTGAATATTTTATCCCTAAAATTGCCTGATAGTTGTTGGTTGTAATATAGACATTCAATAGGAATAATAGAATGTGTATACACAGCGAAAGAGAATGTGGCAATGAATGTATGTATGTTCATGTACAACTGAAATATTGTGCGCTACACTGGAATTTGACACAACATTGTAAAATGACTATAACTCAATAAAAAAAATGAAAAAATTGCAAAAAAAAAACCCCAAAAAGAATGTGTATACAGTAAGTGATAAGAAAATTACTCTTTTGGATAAATGTAGTAGCATACCTAGTGAAAAGGGAAAAAAAGGATAATAAAAAAATTTTTAAGTAGCGTACTGAAAGAAAAATACTGCCAACATAGTTAGTCTGGTATAACATCCACTAGAGTATCTACTTCTTAAGCCCAAGTTAGCATTCATTCTCCAAGGCTGTGGTTGGCCACTTTGGCACCATGCTATTCAGATAAAGATATAGGACAAGAGTTATTGCTCCTGGGAGGAGCCAGCAGACAGTATTCATTAGGTGGTCCATCCAACACTCTATGCAACAGTGCACAGTGCCCTTCAGGAGCTATGCTGCTTGACCCCTTATCTCTCCTCAGCCCCAACCCCCAGGTGACAACTCAGGTGAGAAGGATCAAGATTCACATTGGATGAGTTCAGAAACCATCCTGGCTTAAAAGCTTCATATCCACAAGAACCAATATTTCTTTTGTCAACTCCATAAGCATAGCTTGCAGATTCCCACAAAGGATGGTTTTATGTGTAAGAGTTACTGTATTCCGGCAAACCCAAAATTAATAGTTTCCGATCAAGTATTTATAATTCTTTCGGTCCAAATGCAATCTACCAACATAGGTTCATTTTTACCATAAGCAATGTTGCTTAGCAACACAGTTACCACATACCACCTTATCTGGTTACCAAGGAAACAGCTAGAAAGTTATCAAAAGGTCAAATTCTTATGCAGAAAGGAAAGAAGTTGCGTTAATCCATTACCCACATCTGGTCTCATCCAGAAAACTGTGAAATCAAGTTGAATTTATGAGTTTGTATGTGAATATGGTATAATTCACTCTTGTGATTTTTTTTTCCAGAGCTGATGTATACAGTTGAACTTGCTGGAGGGCTTGGTGCTATCCTGCTGCTGCTTGTTTGTTTGGTGACCATCTACAAGTGTTACAAGATAGAAATCATGCTCTTCTACAGGAATCATTTTGGGGCTGAGGAGCTGGATGGAGGTAAGATGAGTTCCTTCTTTTAATGTTCTCTCTAAATATTCTTTTTGTTTTACTAAGGGGAAGGAAAAGTTTCGTGCATAGCCATTGACAGCAGCTCTTATAGGCTTTCAGTGTTCAGTTTGTAAATTCATCTTTTCTATGAAAGGATATGTGTGATGCTTTGGAGACAATAGATATTTTCCTCTGAAAATTGTAAAGCAACACCTACCCTTTTTAGTATGGTATTCCAAACAGCACTTGCGAATTACAAACGCTGATTGCAGTGTTATCAGAGTGTTATTTTCTCTCACCTTGTAATCAGTACTGAAAGTCCAGCTTTACTTCTGTATAGGTAAGGAGTGTCTCTTTTAATTGTGTTCCCTAGCCCAATAGTTTGAAGTGAAGCTCAATTTGTTCCTTGTTTAGACTGATCAGTTATAATAAATTGTACTGAATTTTTTAGAATTCATCCAGCAGTCTTTTCAATCCTGTTTATTTAGCTATATTTAGACAGGCTAATTTTTATTCTAAATGTGGAGCAACAGATAGGAAAGTGCACCAGCACATTGTTTTCATAATAATACCTCTAATATTTTTACTCACGTTAGATAAATGAATAGTGTTTTCATAGAAATCAGAATTATTATTTGCCTCTGGTCAGTCATGAATATGTATACAACCTAAGAAGAATATGAGGTCCTTAAAATTGAGCTCTGTAAAATGCCCATTAGGGGACTAACAGGTTTTTTGCCTTTTTTAATCATCTGAAACTGGTTCATATAAAAGCTAGACTTGCAATATAGGAAGTGTATGTGAACTGACAAGGAATAGTACAGATGGTGATGGTTTCTTCATCATATTTGTAAACTTTTTTTATTCACTATCAGTTTTTCACTAGATGGTACCAAGGAAAATGAGGAAATTGCCCATGTTACCACATTTCCAGGGTCCTCTGGAGTAAATCACAGGTAGAGCTGTAGATTGTCTGAATAAGTTGCATTCCTGATACTCCTCTTTGTTTAACCTTCTCCCCTTCCCATTAGAGTGAAGTCTGTGCTGCAGCAAAACTTTTTTTTTTTCATTTTTAAAGTGAGGATTTACCTGTTTATTCTTTGTTTGTAACTTTCTTGCCTGTTCATACAAATTATTAAATTTTTTGCTACTGCTTCAAAGAAATATGAGAAAATTGTTAATGTCAGAATCATTGTTGAATGAGTATCAAGCAAAGTACTAGACATTCTTAAAATCATTTTTGCTAAGCCTCCAAAAATTCTGAGGTCAGTATTATAATCTCCATTTTAATGATAAAGCAATTGAGGCTCTCAGAGGTTAAATAACTTACTGAAGAAGATAACACGAGTATTGCTGTAAGTAGCCAAGATGGGATTTGAAAATAGATCTGTTTCCAAAGCCTTTCCTTTATTGAACACTGAGCCCCTATTATTTTTGGCCTTTTAAAAATTTGGTATGTTCAATACAACCTAAAGATCTGCTGTTGTTTGCAAAATTAGCACAGTAAACGGTATTTGAAAAAGGAGATTGCCTAAACAAGTCGCACTTTATTAACCCTATTTTGAATACATTTGTGTTCTGAATGATATGAATGATTTCACCGAAACTATCAATTTCCAGTGTAATTTTTATTTGTCATATTCTGAATAGTCGAAGACTCTGGAGAGTTTAGATGTTTCTAAACCTTAGTCATATCCCCTTAGATCCTTCTACACATGCTATTATGGTTGAATAAATATCCACTCTTCTAGTGTGGGAAATTTTCTCTAACATCATCAAATCTACATTCTTCATTGCTCTCCCACAAGTCCTTTCTTCTTCCAAAGAAAAGCTATGGTTAAGTGACCCCAAGCTTTTCATATTCTTGACTTGGCTGTAAAAATATGATTTGAAAGTCAAAGGCTACCATGTTACCTCCCCTGAAAGGGGGTACGTGAAGTATTCTTGGAAGCAAAGGCAAAGAGTGTGAAGAAGAATAGGGAAAGAAAGTTTAGGTCATATTTTGAAGTAATGTCAGTCTTATGGTTTTTGGTAATAATAGATTCATTGATCATTTACTGAATATTCATTGAATGACAAGTGCTGTGTTGCCTACTTCAGTGATACTCAGAGAATCATACAACCAGAAAGATAGAATTTAAACCCAGGTCTAAATGACTCCAAATTCCGGAAATTTCAGCCACTGTTTCAGACTAGGAGATGGACTATTTGGCATCTGGGACACATTCAGTCAGTTCCTTTCAAGTCATTACAATGGGCACTACCTGACTGTATCAGTTCTATATCAGAAGGAGTCTGTTTCTCTAAGATAGAACATACTGATGCTTTGCTCTCTTGGTTGGTTCACATCACTTCTTATACCCCTCTACATAACCTTACATTTTATTGTTTCCTTTGGACTCAGGCCTTACCACTTCTCTTCGAATTCTGCAACACTCACCTTTTTAGTTGACATGTACAATACTATCTACACTTGCATTTATGCACAAATGACTCCTAAATCTAAATGTTCTTCTCCCAGTTCTCTTGTTTTGCTATCGTTTGTTTCTAGTAACCTATTGGTTATTTCCACTCTAATAGGTCCCAACCCTAGCTTTTAAATCACCCACCCTCACACTCATTCCTTGTCATCCTCCATTTGACATCTCAACTTTTTGTATCCTTCTCTACTGCATTTACTTCACTTCCTCCTCATCTGCCATTTTCAGTTAGCCATCATGGTCAGTTAATGGTACCTCTTGAAAATAGACTTTTCTATTACTCTTCATTGCAAATGTCTTGTCCAAGCCTCCTATACCATCCTCTTGGCCTTCATTATCTACCCCTCTATTTTATTTTATTTTATTGCATACTTTAAAAATTTTTAAATTTTTTATACAATTTTAAAGGTTACTTTCCATTTACAGTCATTACAAAATATTAGCTATATTCCCCATGTTGTACAATACATCCTTGAGCCTGTCTTACACCCAATAGTTTGTACCTCCCACTTCCCCACTCCTATAATACCCCTCCCCTTCCCCCACTGGTAACCACTACTCTCTATTTTATCCTCCACACTCGGCCAAACTTCTCTTTAAAAGTACAAATTTACTGTGATTCTTTGGAGAAAAGCATGTCTCTATGTTGCCTGCCACCGCAGAAAACTTTCTTATTTCAGAAAGCAGTTACTGTAACAGAGTGGCCCAACTTAAATTTGCAGTCTTGCCACCCCTGTGGAATCTGATCATGCAAAATTCCAGTTAGAATCAAATACTGGTCTTTGGACAAACACAGCTGTTGAGAACTGACCCAGGACAACGCAGTCATGCATAAATCTCAGGTCCCTTTGGAACAATAAGGTAACTATAATGGTTAGGGATGGGAGAAGGTTAATTATTCCTCTCCCACCTTGATTCCATAAAATAGTGAAGGAAAATTTGGGCAAATTCTGCTGCATAGACATTTTTTAATAAACAAGCATGTAACCCATCCTATAAATTTGAAGCAGTTCCAACTCTGTCATGTGATTGTGTATGAGTGTGTGTGTACATTTATGTTCCCAAAAAATCTTACAAAAAGTTTCCCCTGAAGCAAATGTGACAATATTTCAGTGGCATGATTAGGCTAACCATCTAATAACAACAAAGAATATTCTTCATCAACTGAGTAATGGTACAGAGCAATGTCATGGTATCAAATAAAAAGCAGAATACAAAAAGGTTTGTCTACTACAATCATCAGCTTTGCAGATAGCTATGTCTCCATGCAGGTAAGAACTGAAAGGTAATATTCAGACATATAAACAGCATTGTAGGGTGTTATGTTCTGAGATGTTTATACCTGTTTTTTTTCAAAAATTTTTAACATTTTACTGTCTTTTTTATTACATATAACTTTTAAAATTCTTTCTGAAATAAATTTGAATTTCTGAAGAAAAAATATTTCTCATCAGGACACAGGACCATTTGGAATCAAGCCTGGAACAGCTTCCCCAAGAGGGCAGGCCACTGGCCCCACTACATACTTGAGGAGTGGGATGTGTCTCTAAATTATGTTAAGTGTTGCGTATGTCTTGAATAGCACTGATTTCACCATGGGGGGTCCATTTCCAGGATCCATTGTACTTAGTAAAAAGCCACTAATTTTAGCAATGAAACGTGGTTTCTAATATTCATTGTGCTAATTAATGCAGCATTTACTTTTGATCAAAAATAAAGATAGTTTAAGTGCTTGTAGCGTTGAAGTGCTCTAGAGCATTGCCTTATTCTAATTAAATGCTAACTGAGCATCCTGATAAAGGCAGCCTCCCGTCTCTAGAGCTGAGCATACACTAACACAATATCCCACCAGCTTTGCTGGAATAATTACGAAGAAAATACAGTTATCATAACAACATCAGACTCCTTTGCTCCTCCATGCCTCCGACTGGGGTTTCCCTTCCACTTTTGTTTAAAAGCTTGAATGAAGGTAGTTCTTCCTTCCTTCTTTCCTTCTTTCCTTCCTTCTTTTCCTCCTTCCTTTCTTCCTTCCTCCCTGTCTCTCCTCCCTCCCTTCTCTCTTTCTCTCTCTCAAACACAGTTCACATTTCCCCTTAACTTATAAATACTCCCATCATAATCGCAAGGTCTAGTTATTTTCTCCTTCATCTTTACTAAAATGGCACTTCAGGCACATCATTTTTATAGCCCTTTTCACGTTGAGTAGTAAGCACTTTCTGGTGAATTCTTACTACTTGTAAAGCATTGTGAATTCAAGATTCCTTATCTCATTTATTTCTGTGAGAAGGAGGCTCAAAGACAAAGTCATGGAGACAAGAATTATTCCAGCATTTTGCAAGGGTGTCTAGAGTTTAGAACTAGCTTTACAAATAAAAATAAAACAAATATTTAAAGAAAACATAATAGGTAGTCTATTAATGAAAAAAAAAACAACAAACAGCTGCTCTCTTACGTTGATGATTATATTGGTGGGTGTCGATAAGGTACTGCATAAGTTTTCATAAGGGAATAACTTATGGGAACAGGTTT